CCCCCCCCCCCCCCCTAAGCCCATGAAAAATCACTTCAAAAGAATATAAGCCCAGGGCTTATAGTCAGAGGTTTACGGTATTATATATCACATATTTTAACAATAAACACATTATTTTTTATATTATATTACATTAACATATATACACAGACCACATATAAAGTCTTTAAATGACAGTACATTGTGTTTGTAATTATAATTACTATAATTACTTGTGTCAAAAGTAAGAAATGAAGTGAACAAATCCATATATATTTGTTGAAAAATTCTTGCAGTGAGTTCTTCCATTTGCTTTTCATTCTTCACACTGTGTATCTTTGGACATTTAAAGGACATTGGCAACGAAAATTTTTATTGGCTATTTCAATCGTACTTGAGAACCGAACTATGAAAATGTTATCATTTCCTTCTTGAACATTTTAGTCTACGAGTAAAATGCATGCAAACTTTGTGTTTCGGCCAGTTTCGCCGCCATCTTGGAAAATATTTTTGAAAAATTATCTCGGAGGTCAATGAACTTTGTGACGTCATTGGCTGGGTAGCACCAAAACTACAAGAGAGAATTCTATTGCGTGCGTGTTATGTTAGCTAAAAATATGTCGTTTTGAGCGTTATACTGGCCAACACTCTTTGCAATCAAACAAGAGAAGTCTACACTATCAGATAAAAACATATCGAGCGACTGGGAAAGCAAGAAATGGCGCAATTTACAATGCAGGTAATTGATCATAAAATATTGCATTAGTATTTGCCTTGTTACACTCGATTTTCTGCGCTTATTTAACACGGAGTAGGATATATACTATGAGAAATAGTGTTACAAACAAGTTACATACTTGGCAAAACTTTTCTGCCTTTTGTTTTGGCTCAAAATGCACTACGCGTGGTAATACACGATATTGTTTATAGTCATGAGATTGTGTTTACCCCGCCAATGACGTCAGATAATGTGTTTTGTGGCATAAATTAGCATACGCGCTTATTTTCAAAATGGTGGACAACTGTTCAAATTTTCTCAAATTCAATCAAATTTTCTCAGCAACTAAACGCGACAAACCAGCCAAAATATGAAATTAAATATTCCGTAAGTATACCTAATAGATATAAGTAATAAAAATTTTGGTTGCCAATGTCCTTTAATCAGCAACTAATTATAGGAAGGATATATTTACTAGCTCATTTCTCCATATTACCAGGTACATAACATGCAATATATCAACCTTGCAATCCATGCTTTAACCCATGCAGTTGCCCCCTCTCCTGCAGCATGTTTGGGAAGGGAGAGGAAGGAATGGAGGTACTGTAATTTCTATATTTAGCTCCCTTCTCTTCAAGCTCCCTTCAAGCTCCCTTCTCTTCAAAAATAAATAAGCCCCCTCGGCCAGCCCCTCCTCTTTTAACCATGCAGCCCTCAATTAATTCTTAAAATCATGATATATATTGCATTTCGGCAGTATTTTAATAAAATATAGTACAATGGTAACTCTGAATATGGACATTTTTTAATGGTAACCAGACTTATTGCATATATTAAGAACAAGTGCCCCCTCAATGATGCTTAGGAAACAATAATACCCAGGAGGCTTGATACAGAAATTAAAGTAGTTATTTGATTGGAACTGGTTAACTGGTAGCTATTTCAATTCTACTGTATCTCCTTTTGTATAGAATTGAATTAATTGCCAATATATTCACATAGTATAATAGTTTGGAAATGGAATCAATACTTGTATATTTTTAGCAATAGCAAATGAGCATTGTTATTGATCAAACAATATTGTTTCACATAGCGACAGACAAGGAAACATCTGTATTTAAATTCTCTACTTATTTTTTATCCAGACACAAATTGATGCAAAAATTGTTTCAGGTTTGGCTTAGTTATAGCCTTACATCGGGCTATTCCATTTAATATCCATACCCCCTGTCGAGGATCCCTGGAATTCTTCAGGGGTAAAGGGCTTTGAGCTTGGAATTCTTCAAGGGTAAAGGGTTTTGAGCTTGGAATTTTGGAATTCTTCAGGGGTAAAAGGTTTTGAGTTCGAAAATTCTTCAGGGGTATAACCATGAAAAACATGTATCCTCGACAGGGGGTGTACGTTATAGGCCATCATGCTGTCAAGTGGCAATGGCAATCACTTACAAAGCAAGTCTATAACCAAAATGTTTTACAACTTGAGGAACTTCTTAAATCAATTATTCTATAATTTATACAGATGCTACAAAAACACCTGGCATTTTAAATTTCTATAGATAACTCCATTTACAAAAGCACAAAGACCACAGGCTACAACATGTTGAGTGTTGACCATAATGTACGGTATTTTTTAAAGCTTCAAGTTTTTTAACACAAGCAAAAGCTGTCACTCCAAAGTCCTTGCAACAATCTGTCAATTTAACAAAACAACGACGTGTGCGATGATTTCATTTAGCCAATTCTTCCATATAATAAATATACTGTCTCATACTGTAGATCGATAAAAAGTCATTCATAAATACCAAGCCATTTTGTAAGTATATACCCAACGTCCCAATACTTTTTCATACGATTAATATAATATATCCTTCGATTTATATTGTTTGATTTCGCATTCCAAATCTGATAAACATTGTGAATTCTCTCTTCGCGTATGTCCACGCGTAATTCTCGTAAAAAACACGCATTAATTGTGTCGGCAGCATTGATGATCACGGCAGCCAATCAAATAACGATTTCGATTCGATTTCCCCAGAGTCATGCCACAACCTAACCCGCGAACAGGCATACTCTGGGAACGAGATTGGAATACTAGCCCAATGCTCTGCCAACTGAGCTACGCGGTCCACAGGCGGCCCAATCTTACCCTGTGTTATTAATTTATTACGTTATATCTTTATATAAATAGTATATTGAAAATCATTAGAAAATCCTGTGTTATTAATTTATTACGTTATATCTTAATATAATAGTATAATGAAAAGCACTTGCATGTGTTTCCTGAAAGATTTTAACGAGAACCGGCCAATTAGATTGGCGTTGACAAGAGGTTAACGGCCATAGTTGGGGTTGACATGAGGATTAACAGCAAGAAATAATACAAGGCTGGTCACTTTGACCGTTAATTGGACTAATTGGGACAAACGCTTACAGAAATCAATCGAATAACGCGAATTTCGGCTGTCGCATCCTCGCCAAATTATGTTACATCGGAAGAGCGATAATTTTTACATATTATACTTTTCTTTAACAGAATTTAACAATAATCTTCTTGCAGCAAATGCCAATTGAAACTTACAAATGTCTAATCTTCCGAGGTTTGTGATCGGTATGAATTCATGGCCTTCAAATTCGAATTATACGCTGCATTGTCATTGGTCGGCTTTCAAAACAACAACAGGCCATTCGCAGTAAAGGAATACCGAATGGTTTTCCGTGCAGGATTGCGTGATCCATGCACGCGGGATGTCATGGGAGATTTAGACACTTTCGGCCAATCATAGTGAAAAAGGCGTTGCCCCAACGCATTCTTCATTATGATTGGCGGAAAGTGCCTAAATCTCCCATTACAACATTCGCATTTCCGCTTGACAACATTTAAATTTGCCCTTGGTAACTTGTACGTTTCAACGATCAAACTGCGCGGCAAAACTTCTTGTCTCTAAGCTCAACTGCAAATCGCAGTATGTGAAGATTGCGAAGCGTTTGATCAACTTTGAAGCGAGAGATGTTATACTTATTTTATTTTATTTTATTTTATTTTACAGATTTTGCCATTGAACACAATACACTATATCACATAAAATTAATTACAAAATAGGCTACATAGCTGGAATTACCACACAGAGATTATTAGTTCGATCTCCAATAACGGGATTCCAAAACATTTAAAATACAAGTATAAACAATAACAGACTTACAGACAAACAGACAGGCATGAATAAATTTAGCAACAAGATCGATTGGACAAGCTGCTCAATGGGCGAGTTGTGTGACACTTCACACAAACAGACTTAAATGTTCTCGGATCTTCGGGATTGTAAATTTCCTTAGTGAGATTATTATAATGTTTCATTAAACAAAATTTAAAAAAGACCACGGTTTTGTTGGCTTCTCTGATCGAGTAGGAGTAGTAG